CGGCAATGTACAAAAGGTCGGGCCAACATAGAGTGGGAAGCAATCATCCGTCTCTTCAACTTTCCTCTCTCGCCAGTTTTCAACACCGTAGAAATGCATTTCGAAACTTCTTTGAAATCTTCTCCTTTCATTTTTTTGTAATGGAAGATTCCTTTCTCGGGGTTTGACGACATTATAGGGACTTCAAGCTCATCCATCAGCAAGAGATCGGAGATAGCGACACAAAGCCCATACATGCAATGGATGGGGTATTTTTCGATGTCAAGATTCCGATTGAGCATCACATTAAGGAGTATGAACTCGGTTCTTCCAGGACTGTTGTATCCAGTCGAAAAGCTAAGAGTCTGCTTCGCTTTGGTCAGGGCACCAGCTGGCGTTAGAAAAGCTCCAGTGACGATGTATTTCAGCTCCTCTTCTGAGTTTATCCAATCTTGACAGATTGATTGTTTCATCTCCAAAATCCGGACTGGGTCAGCTCTTCCATTTGGTTTCGAGAGGTCCAACGGCTTTTTCCCATCAAGAAACCTTTTCCCATGATCCGAATACTTGTTCGCTCGTCCGATACTCTCCAATGAGTTCGGTGCAACTGCCCCAAAAGCGGCAGGCGCAGGACTCCCATAGTCATAGCAAAGTTCCATTAAGCACGCAATCGGCGCATGTCGTGAACCAGCCAAAAGCTCATCTCTTTTTTGAAGATCACGTTGTTTGAAATAGGGGAACTACCGCAAACTTGGGTAATTAAACAGCTTTTGCGCAGTTGGTTCAGTGGTAGAATGCTCGCCTGCCACGCGGGCGACCCGGGTTCGATTCCCGGACTGCGCACCAAAATGTGCAGTCTGTGAGAGAATACAGATGGGGGCAATGATTGTATCCAGTCGAAAAGCTGTTGTATCCAATGCGAGCTGGAGTGTCCAGGTGGGACAAGGAAAACAAGGGTCACCGGTCAACTCGTCTACGTTCCAAACTACGGAAATCGATGGGTCACCGGAGACGCGACAATGAAGGAGCGATCAATGTAGTCCCGGACTGCGCACCAAAATGTGCAGTGTGTGAGAGAATACCGATGGGGGCAATGATTATTAGATATTTATTCCGAATCTAGCACAATACTAATCTAGCGAGAAAATATAATAAAATAGAATCAATCGTTGGCTCAGTGTTTCATAGCAATACGAAAAAGCAATACAAAGAGACAATACAAAGTGGACTCCGTCCCTTTTATCATAAAAACGATCTTTGAGAGGCGGGACAAGAGAATCAGATATTCAAATCAAAACATTAAATAAGACTTCACAGAAAAGAGCCACTTTTCTGCACAGTATGGTTGTTTTCAGGAATGGTGAAAGCGTCTCCACATCGTCAATCGATCCTGGAGCTCAAGCGGCAGCGTGTTCAGGCGAGCGAGATCTCAAAGCGCCATATTTGGTTAAAAGCCAGGACTTTTGTGTGTTGCGGTAATTCACCCTGTAAATTGTACTTTTTTTATGAAAGTATTCATTTTAAATGTGTCTAGTTGACGTTAAAACAGAAAAATCTCCTTCTTAGTAAAAGTATTAACAAGAAAGTTTTAGATTTTATCTTTTAAAAACTGTTTTTAAACTTTTGAATGAGTTTCGTTGAAAGCTCATTTTCAATATTTAGGTTTTTTTCAATTTCTATCAGAGCTTTTTCTTAAGTGTATGTACTAATTGGTGAGGTTTTTATTTCTGTATTTAATGCAGAATAGGAATCAATATAATAACTGGTCTAGTTGACGCTTAAAACAGAAGATCGTCTTTTTCAGGAGTGTCACGTTTAGGTCTTGAAATCTTTTCCAAGATTGCCACGAATTGTTGATTTAGCTATTCGATTTTGCAGTATACATTAAGAGCTTTTAAATGATAGATAACACTCGGAGTGCCCTCTCCAGTGTTCTTCTTTTAATTCATCAATAAGCATCTGTTCCAGAATTTTGCCGCACCTTGTAGTGACTTGAATGAAGCGATTCGACCCAACCGTGTGTCAATTGCTTGAACCACCAGCGGAGCCAAGATTCAAGAAAAGATTTTGAAGAAAAATCTTGAATGAAATGAGAAATGAAAATCTAAATCCTAATGAAAAATCTGAAAAGTTTTCCCAGATCCCAGAAAAGTTTGGTGATTTGCGACGCGCGTTGAGTTGACTCAAAAAACTCGAGTCCTGCTGGAGTCTGGAGTTCTCCAGACTCCAGACTCCGTTGCTGGAGTCTGGAGTTTTATTTTGCAATTTGCTGTAATACGTATATGAGTTGCCCAAAGGTATGCTAAATATGAAAAAATGGAGATTGATTATGCCCCCTTTAAAACATCATCGTAATTATTTGAATAGAGAAGACGGCTCTCCATTCGAAGACTGCCGACATCTCGAAATCGGGACTTTCCCGAACTTCTTTTTAGCTAGAATGCAAGATTTGACTCCAGATAGAAGTATTTTAGGCCTGGTAGTGAAATTGGAAACGTAGTTTTGAAAAAATGAAGATAAGCTTAAAGAAAATCCATTATGGGATCACAGGGATTTTTTGTGAGATTCTCTATTGGAAAGATAGTAACTAAAGACTAATTTAACTGTTAAAGATGTTTTTGGCACGCTTTAAATCAAGCTCTATCGTTTAGAATAGTTTTTAGCAAATTTTGAAATTTTGTTTTATCTGGAGGACCCTTACTCTTTTGGCCGACAGATTTTGGGGGTTAAAAAAAAGACGACTCGGATATTCTATTGGAATATTTATGCCAAGCCATTTCTAGTGATTTTCAGTGATGAATTGGTCTTTACAGTATGCTACCGTAACCATCTTATTGCATAGGAGATGTTTCCATTTCAGAGTAAAAAAGACAACCCATCCATTGACCTTTTCGACAAACAACCACCGAAAAGGTCAAAATTTTTTGGCTTAATTTTATGACCGAGATCTTCTTAAAGGATTTAAAAGTGATAAGAGTGGCATTCGAAAAGGTTTTCGCGAAAGCGTCGAGCTCGAGAAGAGTGTCAATGTCTCGACACACCAAAAAAACTGTGTACGTCACAGGAACAAAGGTGGAGATAAAGGGAAATCTTCTCAGATAATGGAGGAAATGAGCACAAAATTTACAATTCTTTGTTTCAAAGGCCAAAAATCATCAAAATGCACAAAATGGTTACTGTGCGTGAATGTACCAAAAGATTACTGAAATCTTTTGATGCTTCAAGAAGTTTTCCATTTTCGCCATCGTAAATATCTGTGCATTGACATTAGGTTATTGGACATTCATTAGGCCCCGCCCCTTTTGCCATTGGCAAAGCTTTGAGCTCAAATATCTTGGTGTTGAGCTTCTTAATTTAAATATTCTTGGTATCATTCGATGCTCCAAGTCCTTCTCTGTCGATTGGTACAAAAACTATTGAAATTCGACAACCCAACACCAAGATATTCGACCTCAAGTTTAGATCGTTAATGGCAAAGGAGCGGGGCGCGTATAAAAGGTCTTTCTGGCTCCGCCCCTTTTGCCAATCTAACTTTGAGCTCAAATATTTCAAATATTTTAGAAAGAGTGTGTTTCTATGTTTAAACCCCATTTATGAACTTATAAAACACTGTGTACTTTGAGTTCAAAAGTGGAAACACATCCTTTCTAGCACATTGAACTCTTCATCTTGGAAAGACTTTGAAGTGAAGAGTTTGATGCGCCAGAAAGAGTGTTTCCACGTCTGAATGCAAAGTTGCACTCTTAAAAAAGATTTTGCAGCTTTCTTAGTGATGGAGCTTTTAAGCAGTACCCGTTCCAGTAAACAAATTGAGGAAAACTCTGAAAACCCGTAAACATTCGACATCTAGCACACCGAAATGCTATAGAAAATGTGAGAGCAATGAAACCTATTCTTTGCTATAGTGTTCCAATGATGAATGAGCTCAGTTCAGTGTGCCAGATTTCGAATGTTTACGGCTTTCATCACAAGAGTGTCTGCCTCTTGATTACAGTAAAAGAGAAGCAGGTTATCGGACATTTGATACGCGCTCAACCCCTTTTGCCATTGGGAATCTAACTTTGGGCTCAAATATCTTGATGTAGAGTTGTTCAATTTAAATATTCTTGATCTCATTAGATTTGCCAAGTCTTTCTCTATCGATTGCTGAAAAAAAAACTATTTAAATTGAACGGCCCGACACGAAGATATTTGAGCTCAAAGTTAGATTGCCAATGGCAAAGTGGACGGGGCGCGTATAAAACTTCCCACAATCATTACTATGACTGTTAAAAATATTCAGTCAATCATTATAGTGTTTTTCGAGTGATACGTTTTCTAAAAAGTGGATAATTGGGTAAACTATTGTAGCCTTTCCTTTAGATTTTGTTCGATTTGCTTAACTGTATAGGAAGTTGATTATGAATTGGAGTCAAAATTAAGTAGAACGGGCAAAATCTTAAGGAAAGGTAATCTGAATGTAGCTTTCTACATTAGCCTCAAAACACGTGCTTGGGATCATTGCTCAAATCCCGTTTACGAGAAACTTTTTGACTCCACAGACCGACTTTGAGCGCTTCTTTGTGTGAACTCTGATTGTCCGATGCCTCTTCCATTGCAAGCCACCATTTAAACCCATTAGGAGATAATCATAAATTTTCACAAAAAAAAAAACTCTTTAAATCCCCATTTCCGATAAGGATGGCTTTAAAAAGGCACAAAATGCTACGTGAAAAATCAGGAAATCTTTTGGTTTTTGTTGCTTTTGTTTAACAAATGTTTAACAAAAAAAAAAATGTTTAACAATTTTGAGGGAATGATTAAAATTGACTAGGATTTACTGTGTATTCTCTATACTATGTAAAAGCTAGAACTTTGAGATCATTGAGCTACATTTTTCCGGGTAAAAAGTAGTAGTTTAACCTTTTCAAATTGCTATAACTCTTTGAAAAACTCTGATTTAATTCTCGTTTCAAATTTGCTTAGTATAATAACCTTAAATTAGTATAATAACCTTAACAAAACGAAATTTCAGCAAAGAAATGAGAACTTTGCTCTTGTTGGCGGCTTTCTTCACGATTTCTCTCTCGATCGCCCTTCCACCAAATATGCAAGCCGGTGGCGGACTCTTCTGTACGGTTTGCACAGAACTCGTTAAGGTGGGTTTGTTGGAATTGACTTTAAAGCTAACTAGGGAACTGCTCCAGCTTAGCATCGACTTGGGATATGAGACCTAACTCAGAAACGCACAGGAACGCTTTTGAAAGCTGATATTTCAAAAGCTGAGATTCTTTTGTGATCACTGAAAGTTGTTTTCAGCCATTTCCAGTTTTCAGCAATTCCCAGAAGCCCTATTTAGCTTTTTACTGTAGCTTTTTATTGTTTGTGAACACTTTAAAACACCTATAAATTGATTTAATTTGAAAAAAGAAGCAAAAAAAAGCAAAAAGGCTTTGAAAGTGAGGGAATTCGAACGAGGGACAACCAGCAAACCAAACAGGGTCAGCACACAGGGCCAGCACACAGGGCCAGCACACAGGGCCAGCACACAGGGCCAGCACACAGGGCCAGCACACAGGGCCAGCACACAGGGCCAGCACACAGGGCCAGCACACAGGGCCAGCACACAAAGTTGGACAAAGTTTAAAAACTGAATTTTGTTTCAGCTCGATGAAGAATATCATAGAAAATAGTAGAAAAAAAATAGTAAAAACACTCTCAAAAGGCTATATTGATGAATTTGAGCCTTTTCAAAGAGTTGAAACATTTTAATTCGGTGCCATTCGGTGAACTGTTCTTAGCGATTCTCTTTTCTTTGCTATTTACTAACTCATTTGACTAACTTACTAACTTACTAAGCAGCTTTCTCTCAATTCTCAGCAAAAAATAATTCAGCCTATCGCACCGGTGCCGTTTTTTCAAAAACTGCTTAAAATTTCAAAAGCATTTCTCTCGAAAACTGGATGCTATGGAGTAAAACTGAAAAACAAATATCCCTTAGAATTTTAAGGTGGCATTTTTGCGCTAGGTATCATGATTCCAAGCGATTTTTTTTCAAAATTCTCTATGGGGCATTTCCTTTAAAGCCTAATTGCAAGTACGAAGATATGAAAACTTAAAAATGACTCCGATTTTCAATTTTAGGATGCCGAAACATCGGGAGAGCAAGATGTGAAAGCCTATCTGACAAAAGAGATCAAAGCTTTCTGTGACACGACTGGCTTCCTCTCGACAACTTGTCAGGCTGCTTTCAATAGTGTAAGTGACTCTCAATAGTGTAAGTAAAATCTATGTACAAACGAACAAGCTATGGCATAACAGTGGTTACGATAGAGTTCAGTAAAAAAAGAAAGAGCTCAGAAAAAGTACAAAGTCTATTGACTCTGGCTACAGTAACTCTGTCTAGGGCTACAGGAACTCTATGACTACAGCAACTCTGTCTAAGGCTACAGGAACTCTAATTCTACAGTAACTCTGTCTAAGGCTACAGTAACTCTATGGCTACAGTAACTCTGTCTAAGGCTACAGTAACTCTATGGCTACAGTAACTCTATGGCTACAGTAATTCTGTCTAAGGCTACAGGAACTCCAAGACCACAGTAACTCTGTCTAAGGCTACAGTAACTCTGTCTAAGGCTACAGTAACTCTGTCTACCTTTATGTCACATGTAGCTTGTCTTTAAAGAGTTAAAAACTCAGCAAAAATCCCATCCAGTAGGATTCATTTTTCTTTAGGTGGTCGACCAATTGTGCACCTACATCAACCAAAAGTTGCCACCAGATGTGTGCTGTCAGAAAGTCGGATTGTGCTAGAACTCAAGATTATAACAAAATTATTATTATGACAAGCACAAATGTAAATGGAAGTAACCAAAACTTTTTGCATAAAGTAGCACAAGTTATAAATGAATCAAAAGTCATTCTTCATTGTCTTGTAAGAGATCAAAACTCTAAAATGTTCTTTGGATGCACTGAGTGTTAATAAGAACTTTTTGTTTTGAATGACGTACTTTCAATGATCTTTTATTTTTATTGACAATCAATTATTTATTGACAATCAAAAAATAGATACGTGTACACGATATTTACATTTCTACGCAAATACAGAGACCGACCTTACATGACTTAAACTTACTATTAGTGCGCTCTATTTGACAAGAAACAATATTTGATGAAATCCAGAGGCTCGGGTTTTGAAAAACTGCAAGTGATTTTGATTGCTTTTTCCAAAGTTAGCATCTTATGTTTCTGACCTCCGTATTCCATGTTTGTCAATACATTATATTCGTTACGTTATAGAAATCGACCTTAGTTAACTCCCTCACGAGTAACGGAGATCGAGTGCATTGTAGTGTAATGGTTAGCACATTTGCCCGGTAAACGAAAGGTCCCGCACATCGAATCCGCTACTATGGGAAAACACTTTTGACTTAAAATCAAAAAGCCGACTTCGGACAATTCTTAGTTGTTGTCCAGACAAGAAAAATCCAAAGTTTGAGAAAAATTTCGATTTTTCCGATTTTTCTCATATTCACTCCACAAAAACGTGCCAAACGATGTATTACAAAGTTGTAGCCCTGGATTTACTCTCTCTAACGATACCCTTGCCATTTCTCTGCATTTTGTTTGCGATGAGTTCTGAGGTTTTTTCCGGCGTCACTTTTAGACAAATATAGGGATGAGTGCCCATTGTGTCACGGATTCGATTCCCGGCGGTGCACGAGTTTTTGATCTGCCCTAGTCCAACTTCCTTATAGAAAAGCAAAACGAGTTAAATTGAGTCCAGCTCTTTTCAACTTTTCTTGAATTTATTCTAATGAATTTAAATTAGGCATAAGAATGAGTTTTTGACTTGAAAATGCAATTGATCGATCTTATCATTATCAATTATTGATAAGATTCGCTTTTTTTAGTCATTATCAAATGTGATAACAATAAAATTGAGAAATAATCGATCTTATCGATCTTATTGAGTGTAAACTTGGGAATTTCTAGGTATACGCTAGGACAAAAGGATATGTGAGCGTTTGGTTTGATGTTAAGTATAAGATTGTAAAGTTCTAATCCTATAATTGTTATCGAAATCGACACAAAGTGAAATTCTCCGTGTTGGGAGGGGAGAATTTACATGAGCACAGATATTGGAATAAGAAATTGAGGATCTTTACGGATCTTAACGGCGGGGGTAGCGATTATCGGCGGGGCCAAGTTTTTGACCAACTTGTGATCCCACCAACGATTTAGTGAAAGAATAATAAAACTAGCCTTGAGCCTTCTAATTCCTCATCAAAAGAAATCAAAATTGGGTGCTTTACGGTTAACGGGAGGGGGAGGGGGTGGTCGAACGATTATCGGGGGCGGGCGAGTTTTTGGTCAACTTGCAGCTAATTTTTGATCATCTTAAACTCGTCAAATCAGGAAGGCAGCCTGATTTTAGATAGCTTTTTGTTAATCACTTTTGACGAAGCAAATAGTTTCTGAAAGTTGACGTTCTAAGCTATCTAAATCTTTAACAGAAATAATATTTTTATGAATCGACATGGTTCTTTCAAATTAGGGGCTATGAAAAATAAAATTAACAATAGAAATATAATTAATTAATAGAGCGACTTTAGTAGAACGACCCTCCAAGGGGTTATTGAAAAATAGAGGCACCGGTCGCTCTAATAAAGCATTTACCGTTTCAAAAAAGTTACTTTTCGAAATGAATTCATCTCAAGGATCAAAGTACACCTAAAATTAAAGCAATTATTCGAAATCATAGCTCGTTTCCCAATTGAATTCCGCGTTCTTTCAAATATGACAATATTTACTCTATCTCAAGTGACCTGACCGTAGAAAAGAAAGCAAAGAACTCCTGTTTCAAAATTCAAAAAAGCAGCTGCCTTTTCGAAATTATATTTAACGTTTACAAATGATTTTTTCAAATCTTATTCTGCTGCTGTATTTATTTCGAATTTGTCACACTCAACTCGGCGCAATGTCAGGTGATTTGTCTGCAATTTTCTGCAATGCAGTTTTCTAAAAGTCTAGAGTTCTTTTGTTTTGTAGCTTTTGCTTTTGACGATTAATGAAAATACAGAAAGCCATTCAAACTATATGAACGTGACGAGCAACTTGTACAACGAGCTGTTCATGAAAAGAGCCTACAACAAATACTTGGCGCCAATTCATGGAAATCACAGTGGTTTGCGGGTTTTGTGATTTTAAGTATCGTGCCGAATCAAGGCTCACCACTCGATGTAATCTTTGATCTTTACTATCTGAAGTTGATCTCATTGGATGCCGAGAGACAACTCTTGAGCCTTTGTCTTCAGCTAAAAACGGTGGGATTCGACTGCTGAATTCATTCAAGCTTTAAAAAAAAACTTAAAATTGCTATTTGCAATTACAACTTGCTGATAAAGTTTAATAAAAAAAATCAAAAACATGCTTAGCTTGTAAGCGGAAAAAAGCGGAAAATTGAATATCTTTTGGATTTCAAAAAAAGGAATGGGGCAGCTACGCACTGCGACGGAAAAAGCGGAAAAACGTAGCTGTCCCATTTGTTGACTTTCTCTTTGAAAATTAAATGATGTTCAATTTTTCGTTTTTTTTCCGCCTGCAAGCTTGATGCTTAGAGAAATTGCTTAGAAAATTGTCCAAAAACTAAATGTCGATCTTTTCAGTTTTGGCAAGATCCAAGACTTTCGTGGAATATGACCGAATTCAGCGGACTCGACGACATCTTTGTCGCCGCCGATGTGCTCTGGATTCCGGACACTCAAGTCGGAAATGCGTAAGGAACAAAAACGTCTCATTAAATTAAAAAACAAATTTAATCTAAGGGAATTCAATTTCAATTTGCGGTACATTCAACATTTCGGTACAATAACTGAACGTAAGAAAGATGTAGTAGACAGAAAATAATCAAACTAGTCACAAGAAAGGGTCAGGAACCCACAACGAACCCAGCATTAGTACAAGATTTAAATTTCGTTTGGAAAAATCTCTGAGTCTGAGATTAGTTAGTGCTAGCTTAAAGGTAAAGAAAGAATTCAAATCACGCTAAGAAGCTGGAAGAGAATTTCAAGCGTTCGCTATTAAAGAAATATCTAGCGGATTTACAAATGAAATTTTGAGTCAAAAGAGTCACTTCACGTCACTTTGAGTCACTTCTTCTGGTTGTTGCTGGTCTTGCTGGTCTTGTATTTAAAAGAAACTTTCGATAGCTGGAACATTTTAGCGCACAGATATGTCTGTTCAAACCTTCAATTCAATTCAATTTCATTAACAAATCAATTCTTCCAGAAAAACTCTCGATTTGATCAAAGCCGACGCGACGAGTATGATGCGAATTTTCAGCAATGGCAGTGTCTATTTTCCGACTTTCTACTATACCGAAGTGTCGTGTCCGATACTTGTAAGGGGAGAAAAGTGATTGACATTGACATTGACATTGACATTGACATTGGCATTGACATTGATTGGCGCATTGACAACCCTTTACCATTTAGATCAACACTTTTCCATTTGACAAGCAGATCTGCCAGATTCCATTGATGTCGATGACTTTTGATTCGTGAGTGTTTTCTATTTGTAGTAAAAGGCTTGAAGATGGTTATAAAAAGCCACTAGGATCAATTTTTCACTAACTACATATTTCAATCAAATTAAAGGAAAAAACTAATCCAAGTATCTCAATTCCGCAAGGGAATGGTAGCCTTGTTAACGAGAAGCGAGAATGAAACAGAAACGAGAATGAAAACTTATCTTTGAACTTCATTATCTTTGATAATTTAATGAGAATTAATATAGTAATTGTCATTTTTGATATAGTAATCGTCATTTTTCAGAGATCACATCAATTTAATTGCACAAGTCGATCCATTTCTCGCTCAATACACAGATAAAAGGGTACGCTTTAAAAACAAATCCAAAGTGCGCCATAATTGTCGCAACAAGAAAAAGTTCTGATTTTAAGCCAGACGAGAGCAAAAAAAGACAAATTTTAAACTGAATAACATTTATTGTCCATTAACAATCATAAATTAATTATCAAATTCGAATCGGCCACCATTAGCTTTGAGCAGGCTCGCAGGCGTTTCGGGAAGGCGTCAGCGGTGGCGACCAAATAGGCTGGATCGAACTCTTCCCACACTTCGAAGCTGGATATGCACTTCGAGAAACCGTAGCATGCGGTTGAGATTTGGCCCATACTTTTACTTGTTAAGAAGGCCTTCAACGGTAAATATCTTTTTATCTGTGAACAAGATATTATGACAGTCGATTCCATTGAAGCGCATCAATAACTGATTTGCCCTCAATTTTCGCTTATTTTTAGCGGCATTCAAAAGAAGTTGAGCCTTGTTTTTCTTGTAAGCAATAAGTTTTAGCTTATTTTTGAAGATCCGACGCAATGAGGTGCTTGAAATCGCCATCTTCTTTGCCATTTGTCTTGCCGACTGGTATGGCTTCTTCCGAATTCGGTCCCTCATTCGCTTGATGTTTGTTTTGTGAAAACAGTTGGGGGTTTACCGCTTCTTGATGCATCAGCAATTGTTCCCGTAGCTTTGTAGCGTTGAATAGTGTAGAAAATGATACTCCTGTCGACTTTAAGACGCTTATAAATCTCCGGCGCCGAGACTCCTCGCTTGTGCAATTCGATGATCGATTTTCGAGGGGGATTTTCCAGCCATTCTAAAAAACAACACATTTAATACGAAAAAAAGCTTCAATTATATTCCAAATATAATAAAAACACAAAAAAAAACCCAGAAATGAAGCTTAAATCAACGAGTTATTGTCCTTTAACGCGCGTGATACCTTGTTGCGAAAATTATAGCGCACCCTGTAGATTTTAAATTTTTTTTTTTAGTTTGTGGCTTCTATTGCAAAATCGGCGGGAAATGCGTTTGGAGTGGTGAACGCGATGATCTCTTGGGTTAGTTAACACTAGTATCACAAATCTACTATTAGGTTGGTGGATATTCTTCATTTTTTTTAAATTTTTGTTTCCATGCAAAAGAATAAAAAAAACTAAACTCATAGATTCTTATTAGAAATAGCTTCAACTTATCGATTCTATTGCTAGTTGCATCTAAAATAATGATGATATAACGACTAAACTATTGGGTTGATGCATAAATCTTTAGAATTGTTTTCAAATTTTGATTTTCATAGAAAAAATTCTTTACCAAATTTGTTGCGTCCTAAACTATCAAAAAGATCAATCATTTCTTTACAAAATGGCTTTTGAGAGAAAGCTCAAAGCTCGCCTCAACTCGGTAAAATCCCATTTTTATGTAAAATTTGCAATTGCTGTTTTAAAGAAAATGGCTAAACGGAGCGTTTTCAAATTTTACAGACTTATGTAATCAAATAAGCTCTATCTTTTTTACTTTGGCACCAAAATAGGTTTGCGTTGAAGAAAGTGTTCAAATTGCGACTTTAGTATTGGACCAGTTTTGGGTACTCGCCTTTGCGCCTTTAAAAATCCACAAAAACAACTATTTCCAAGAATTTCTCAAAAGCCATCTTGCAGAGAAATAATCAAGCTTTTTAATAGTTCAAATCGAAATTTTGCTAGTGGCGGAAGTATTTTTAAACGACGTTTGGAAAAAAAACTGTTGCAGAAAAAAAAGACTTATGCACTAACCTAATATATTATAATTTTGAAAAGCTGTCTGTCTTTTACCAAGATTTAAGCGCACCAATTGAGTATTTCGATGGGGAATAAGTGTCATTAGGGGTAATCGGGGGTGGGCAAGACGGGGAAGTGATTAGATTTTCGATTTGGCAACGTTTTTAATGTCTAAAATACGATTTTGTGATATTTGGGCACCGACCGTTGCTTTTGGGCGAAATAAGGGAAAACGCGTTATGCTAATTACCCTAGGCAAAGTTCAGTATGCAAATTATACATGGGCACTATAAACTACAAAAATGGTAAACTGTCACACTACAAACGCTTCTAACTTGCTTCAAATCTGCTGGATTGACTTGATCTATAGCTCAAAAAATAGAGAATCTAAAGAGCTTTCGAATGGAGTAAAGCACGCCCAAAATATTAACTCTAAAGAAAGTTAACAATGGTTTGTAGTTTGATGGACCGTGTTTGTAATCAAAGCAATCGAGTCTGCTTCTAACTTGCTTCAAATCTGCCAGATTGACATGATCTATAGCTCAAAAGATAGCTATAGCTTATACTACTAAAAATAAGTAGAAAATTTATACAGCAAGCTCTAATCAATATAAAATTTACTCTAATCAAAATAAAATGACTATCTCTGACAAAATCTTCCAAATTTCCCATTGGAAAATGCTCTTAAATAACTGTAAAAACTAGTTTAAAAGTGAATGAGTCTAAAAAGGATTCTTGAGAGACTTTCTCAAGTAATTGATCAGCAATTGATCAGCAATTGTGATCAGAAATTCAATTTTAAAACGATTCAAACAATTCGGGTTTCAATTTTGAAACGATAGAAATTTAAAAGAAAGTCTTGGGTTTGAAAAGAACTTAAAGAAGTGAATGCTTATTGTTAGTTTGTTAGTTAGTTTGTTAGTTTGTTAGTTAGTTTGTTAGTTTGTTAGTTAGTTTGTTAGTTAGTTTGTTAGTTAGTTTGCTTATTTTGTTAGTTAGCTAGCCGAGTTTGCCGTGAATTTTTCATTTTCCGCCATTTCAATCGAATCAAACAGATTTATGCTTACTGTAAAAAGACCAAATGTTTAACAAGCTCGTCATTTTCCTTTCCATCAACTTCTTTTCACTTTCTCAGATCATTTTTCCAAGTTCCAAGTCTAGTTTTCCGTTTCTCTACAAAAAAAAGACTAACAAAATGAAACGAACGAATTGTCACACTACAAACGCTTCTAACTTGCTTCAAATCTGCTGGATTGGCATGAGCTATAGCTCAAAAGATAGAGGATCTAAAGAGCTTTCGAATGGAGTAAAGTAGAGCTAAAGCTGTCAATGCTGAAAAAAGCTACAGTGGTTTGTAGTTTGATGAACCGTGTTTGTCGTCAAAGCCATCGAGTCTGCCTCTAACTTGCTTCAAATCTGCCGGATTGACATGATCTATAGCTCAAAAAATAAAGGAACTCAAGAGCTTTCGCATGGAACAAAGCACGCCCAAAATATTAACTCTAAAGAAAGTTAACAGTGGTTTGTAGTTTGATGGACCGTGTTTGTAGTCGAAGCCATCAAGTCTGCTGCTAACTTGCTTCAAATCTGCCGGATTGACATGATCTATAGCCCAAAAAATAGGGAATATGAGGAGCTTTCGAATGGACTAAAGAGTGCCCAAAATATTTACTCTAAAGAAAGTTACAATGGTTTGTAGCCTGACTCGATAGCTTCGACTACGCGCGAGTACGGTTCGTTTCGCCTCAGGTTACAAACCACTGTAGCTTTCTTTAGCATAAATATTTTGGAATGTGCTTTGTTCCATTCGAAAGCTCTTGAGATCCTCTATTTTTTGAGCTATAGATCATGTCAATCCGGCAGTTATAAAGCGAGTTACCAGCAGACTCGATGGCTTCGACTACAAACACGGTCCATCAAACTACAAACCACTGTAACTTTCTTTAGCATTGATATTTTGGAATGTGCTTTGTTCCATTCGAAAGCTCTTGAGATCCTCTATCCTTTGAGCTGTAGATCTTGTCAATCCGGCAGTTATAAAGCTAGTTAGAAGCGTTTGTAGTTGTAAAAGTAAACCAAAGTTCTTCATTTCTATCCTTTCAGGGAAATGGTGAATGGGATGTGACCAACATTACCCTCTTCGACTTGGCGATGGGAGAATCGAAAATGGTTGTGATTCATCAAAATAACATCTATAATCTATCGTAAACATCTTGATTAATCGGCAAAGTCTAGACATCGTATCTCCTCTCCATTAAACGTGTCCCCAACTACTACGTTTACGTGATCGCTTTGCCGTGTTTTATCTTGACCACACTCTCCTTGGTGGGCATGTTCTGGACGCCGAACATCAAAAAAGAACAACTCGTCAAAGTGAAGTGACAATGGGTAAATCTAGGCAATCAATATTTCAGCTAACAATTGGATTGACAAGTCTCGTGTCGATGACAGTGCTATTGGATATGCTTTCGAGCTCTATCCCAAAGACTTCCGTTTTTCCTTTGTTAGGTAAATGTTCTTTTAATAGTAAGCTATTTTAAGGAAAAAAAAACTGATCCTCTAACTCGTCGCTCTCCAAATCGACTCTTACAGAAACCTAAAAAAGAAATAAAGACAATCAGCCACTAGACCCGAACCAGTGAGCCCTCGAACTCACTACCACTCTGCCACCGCTGGCTCGCGAAAGACACGGTTGTAATGTCGCGGTTTAATTTTTGACTCCTTACAAAAATTTAGGCGCGTATAACTTTTGACAAAGTGATCCAAAGCAAAAAGTATTAATATTACCTTTGTGCAGCCCTTGAAAAGAGCTTTCAAAAAATGTATAACACTAATAGTTTAAACTCAAAGACAAGGGAATTACAGACGCGCGAAAGTGACGATCGTTTTTCAAATATCATATTTCATTGTCCAGTACTGTAGGCGTCGAGTTGGAGAGTGTCTCTGGTTAGTAGGAGTAGTGCAAAAACAATGTTTCCTACTAGTTATCACATGCTAGCCTTTTAGAGAAATCTTTGCTCATTAATTTGCTAACTAATTTATCGTAAAAGACGAATATGTAGCGAATTGTGAAGCAAAAACTTTCTCCTTCTCAGGCATCTACGTGGTTTGCTGTGTGAGCATCATCTCATTGGCTTCAGTCGTCATCACTCTTCACTCGTTGCCAAATCCGAGGAAATCTACGGAACTTTCCATGTCTGAAGAGAAAAGCCACAACGAGAAGTGCCCGATAAAAGAGAAGATCGAATCAAAAACTCGCCTGATTCTCAAACCAATTCAGCGGATTTTCCACCGAAATATCCTCATTTTGTTCTTTTTTCAAGCACTCAATTCTATTGGCTTTATCGTATTTTTGTCGTATTGGGATTGATTTTTTTTGAAATTCGAGACTCGTAAATTGTTTTCAGCAAAGATATGTCTCATTTTAGAATGATAAAGTCACCGTTTTCAATCCCTCATGGTCTCATTTAATGTTTGGATGGGCCTTATATCAAGACAACGCTCCATGCCACAAAAGCCAGCTAATGATGGGCCGAGTTGTCCGACTTGCAAATGGAGGAAGAGCTCGCCTACCCGGCGTTTTTGCTGCTTATCGTGTAAAATTGATCAAAGTGCCTCCTTATTCGCCGGATTTGAATGTTATAGTTGCTTTTCAAGTTTGTAAAGTTTAGTTTATCTGCAATAACTCATTGAAAGTGTTTCAAAAAGGTCAGAGACTACGATGGCTACGATAATGGCTTTCAAATGATTTTCAAATGATACCCATTCTAAAAAACACTTATTTCAGAAAAACTATCTTAATCAAATAGTCCCAATCACCTAATTGTTGATAGCATTGAATGAGTCTTTCAAATCCTCATCGATTGATAACAAAATTGAGCTGATTGAAGGGAAAATGACTGTTTGATTACAGTAAAACTGACTGTTTGATTACAGTTACAGAAAAATGAAAGAAGTTGCCTTTGCTATGAATTATATAATTGTGAAATGTTCGTCTTTCAGAAAAAAAGTCAGGGCATGGGTTTTCCAGGCTAAAAATTGATAGCCGGGGGCTTTCGACTATGCTGATGCCGAATCTGAAGTCAGATTCAAGGCCTGTTCAAGGCCTAGCTAGCAGATGCGTTTGACCAAACAAAGTGTCCCGTAGTCGCTACTCAGGACTCGGCCCCCAGTTGACCGATTTTGCTTTGTGCTACATTTTTGGATAGGACAATTTCTCCGCGCGGCCTGTGTTTCAAAACATCAGAGACTACGACCATAATGGCTTTTTCAAATGATACCCCTTCTAAAAAGCACTTATTTCAGAAAAACTATCGTAATCAAACGGCCCCAATCACCGAAATGTTGGTAGCATTGAATGAGACTGGCTGAATTGAATGAGACTAGCTGTGCCGGACGCCCAGCACAGCTAGTCTTTCGATTATTCTTTACTCGCTCCTTCGAGAAGCGTCCACGCCGCTTGTGCCTTACTTTACCAAAATTGTAATCACTTATTTTCTCAATAACCTCTTGTATCCATCTAAACTGCCTATAAAGAGTACTTTGTGCTCAAAAGTGCAAACGTACCCTCTCTGGCGCACGTCGGTGATTCATTTCCCTTTAACTTTCCTTCAAAACCATTTCTGCAGCGATTTTGGTAAGCTAGAGAAGGTGTGTTTTCATTTTCATGACTGGATCCTTTGGAGAAGTTGAAAGTTGAATGTACTTTACTACAAAGTATGTAAACTCAACCTTCTGGTGCACTTAATTCATCCAAAGTAAAGTGCGCCAGAAAACTTGTGTTTGCGTTTCAAAGGGCACAAAGTACATCTTGAAAAAGTCACAATTACTAATAAAATTTGTTGTACTTTATTGTAAGCACTTTGTGCTCACAATTGAAATAGAAACATCACACTTCTGGTGCACTAATTTCATGTTTTAAGGCTCTAAACGGCTGCTGCAACTTCCAATTTCCAATTTACATTCGATAAATTAACATTTATCCGCTTGCTTTACTGTAGAAACTCAAATTTAGTATAAAACTCAAAATTAGCATATAACCGCGCTTTTCATTCCCCCTCTCATCTACCGTAGCCATTCTTTTCTTCTCGATGGATCAAGAAAGGTTAGCACTTTGAATTTGTTAGTTTCTCCGTCTTTTGCTCTGCTAATATCATCGAATTTTTGTGGTTTCTGCCCATTTTTCACTCAAATACCCAAATCAGAGTTCAAATTTTTGATTTCACTCTTGCGAAATGGGGTTTTCTTCAACGCTAAATTTCTCTTTTAAAGCTGAAACTTTTCAGTAAACCAGCCGATGCGATGGGCAGAATACCGAAATGGTCGATTTTTGCCGGGATTCTCATCGTGCTCATCGAGATCGCTTTCATCGCTTGGAGGCTCAATGTGAGTGAGGTTTTTTGAGCTTTGACTGTTTCTTTAAGTGTTATAGTAATGATTGTGGGATAATCAAATTGTTTTGAGCTAGCACATCTTTTGAGGCTAATGTAGAAAGCTAACTTCAGATTACCTTTCCTTCAGATTTTGCCCGTTCTACTTAATTTTGACTCCAATTCATAATCAAATTCCTGTACAGTTAAGCAAATCTAATAAAATCTAAAGCAAAGGCTACAGTAGTTTGCCCAATTATCCACTTTTTAGAAAGCGTATTACTCGAAACACACTATAATGTTAAGGTTCTGAGATATTTGATACGCTTCGCCCTTTTTGCCAATGGCAATTCAACTTTGAGCTCAAATATCTTGGTGTGCTGTTGTCCAATTTAAATAGTTTTTGTAGCAATCGATAGAGAAAGACTTGGAGCATCGAATGATACCAAAAACTATTTAAATTGAACAGTCCAAGACCAAGATATTGGTGCTCAAAGTTGGATTGGCAAAAGGGGCGGGACCAGAAAGACCTTTTATACGCGCCCCGCTTCTTTGCCAATGGCAATTCAACTTTAAGCTTAAATTTCTTCGTGTCAGGCTGTTCAATTTAAATAGTTTTTGTACCAATCGACAGAGAAAGACTTGGCAAGTCCAATAAGATCGAGAATATTTAAACTGAACAACCCAACATCAAGATATTTGAGCTCAAAGTTAGATTGCCAATGGCAAAACGGGTTGACCGCGTATCAAAACCTGCTTCTCTTTTACTGTAATCAAGAGGCAGACACTCTTGTGATGAAAGCCGTAAACATTCGAAATCTGGCACACTGAACCGAGCTCATTCATCATCGGAACATCGAAACTATAGCAAAGAATAGGTTTTATTGCTCTCACATTTTCTATAGCATTTCGGTGTGCTAGATGTCGAATGTTTACGAGTTTTGAGAGTTTCCCTCAATTTGTTTACTGGAACGGGTGCTGCTTAAAAGCTCTATAATTATGAAAGCTGCAAAATCTTTTTTAAGAGTGCAACTTTGCATTCAGAAGTGGAAACACACTCTTTCTGGCGCATCAAACTCTTAACTTCAAAGTCTTTCCATGATGAAGAATTCAATGTGCTAGAAAGGATGTGTTTCCACTTTTGAACTTAAAGTACACGGTGTTTTATAAGTTCATAAATGGGGTTTAAGCATAGAAATATACCCTTTCTGGCACATCCACTTATTTTCTTCAAAGCATCTTTTCGGCTGTTTATTATGAGAAAATAAAAGGTCCAGTGCGCCAGGGAGACTGTGTTTACAAAGTACACCAAAAGCGTGTACTTTGTACTTTTGGCGTAGCGTGTACTTTTGGCGTACTTTTGGTACAAAGTACACCAAAAGAGAATTCTTTTTTGATTATTCATGGCATTCACTTCATCAAGTTTCGATTCAATTTTCAATTCAATTTTTCCTTTCCAGATAACGGGTATCGCACACGCGCAGGTGGTCCGTTTTCACTCGCTTTTCCATCTCGAACTAGCGATGAGTATCGGCTCGTTCTACATCTTTTCCCGGTTCTCCTCGGCTCTCACGTGAGTTTTATATTTTAGATTTTAGATCAAAAAGATCAGAAATTTTGTTTTACTCATAATCCTCGTCTTCCTCATCTTCCTTTTTCTAGATCTTTGAATGATGGCCGCTTGCGGAATTTGCAACGCCGATGGGCACAAATTTGTCTCACCGATGTCATGAGGTGAGAAATTTTGAGGAAATTTCATTGAAAGTTAAGCTAAAATTCGAATTTTACTGTTTAAACTTGAAAAATTGTGCACTTTTCAGAGCGGTGCTTCTTCTCTTTTTGGTGCTTGCTCAAGGGTCTTTCGCTTTTTATATGGTCAGTTTTTGGAATTTTCGAGCTAAGCTCCAGTTCTTGTCATACTCGGCTGCTTAAATTGAGTAGCCTTAAGATTCTTCAACGAAACGGGTACAAAGCTATTCAGTTTTAAGGCTAAAAGATCTAAAAGATTTGATTTTTGGTGTACTGTAGCTAAGCAAAGTGCAAGCTCTTTATTTCTATGTCTTCTCAGCTTTACCTTTCCCCCCATTTTCCAGATTCGTCTCAAATCTGAGGTCTCCACGCAGGCATTCATCTGTTTGGTGTGTCTTGCCGGTTTCATTCATCTTTTCGTCTTCACTCTCCTCTCCGATCTCCTCGTTTCGATTCTCTATGTGCCGCTGAAATTGGGTGGCCAGTTGCCGGAAACGTCGTGGTGCAGGTAATCTTATAAAGGATTAGAGATACCGTAGTCTGACTTGGCTTAACGAGACTTACCGAGGTCAAGATCGCCTTACAAGGGAAAGGGACCAAGTCAAGCTAGCCTTTTGACTCGAGACCCAGACTATCCCCTAGACTATCCAATAGACTATCCACTAGACTATCCACTAGACTATCCACTAGACTATCCACTAGACTAGAGAGATCGTTAAGGGAGCGTGTGACCTCTTCTGAGCCCAAAATTTAGCTATCTCGCTCTGCGTTCTGCAGAAACTAAAAATGGATTCGGGATCCCCAAGTTCGAGTCTATAAGATGAACTTGGTCTCAAGTCAAAAGACCAGCTTGACTCGGTTCCCTTGTTAGAAGTAGAGAATCGAGTATGTCAGAAGCCAAGAGTTTACGTGGATTAGGGACATTTTTATGGTCTCATAAGGTGTCGTTTGGCCAAGTCTACCGTAATCCCGACATTCTATCTCATTTCAGTACACTGGGGTAACTGTTCCGATGACAAAACTATCTAATATTAAAGTCCGAGGCTTTTCTTTGTCTCGGATACTGTAGTAATACAAAATACAATGGTTTTACGGTACTTTTAAGCTGATCTATCGTGTACAGTAACCCTGAAATCGGATTGATCTTTTGTCTTTCAGTTTCCTCGCCGATCATCGCCTCAAGCAAATAATCTTTGTGACGGTGATCACTGTCTTTTTCATGTCAATCGGTCTCTTCCGAACGCTCACCCCGCCGACCGTTGTCGAAGAAAGCCTCAGAACAAATGTTTGTTTGATTGAATCATTTCTTTTCTAGATATAAATTTCTAGAAATTGAAATCTGGATCCGATTTCTCGATCGCTTTACTCAGCGATCTTCACATTGGGCCGAGTGTCGGTCGATCACGGGTACAAACGATTGTCGACACAGTGAATGGGGCTGAGCCAGGTACAAATTTAGAGATTAGATAATCTCGAAAGATTAGAATTTGATCAGAATTTGACTTGAATTTGATCAGAATTTAATCAGAATTAGATATTAAAATTTGATCTTTAACTTAAAACAAATTCACCGCTTTAGATTTGATTGCGATCAGCGGTGATCTGGCCGATGGATTCGTGACCGATTTAGCCGACGCGGCGCGGCCGTTGTGCAATCTCAAAAGCAAATATGGGGTCTACTTTGCGACGGGTGAGAGGATTTTTGAGAGTTTCAAAAAAAGATTTAAAAGAAAACCTTGAGCAAGTGAATATGGTAGGATTACCGTAGGAAGACGGCGCCGTACTTCGTATCCGTGTACGGTAACAAGTTACGAGTACTGTAGAAAGTTAGGAGTGCATATCCGTGTAAGATACGGTAACAAGTTAGGAGTACGCTGGGAGTAGCAAGCTGGGAGCGCTGTAGCAAATTAGGAATACGGTAACATACTCGTGTACGGCAGCTTACTCGTGTACGGTAGCAGTTAGAACGGTTGCAGGTTGCAGTTAAGATTGCTGTGGCATTAGGAGTACGCTGATGTAATGTCTGATATGTCCTAATGTCTGATAGCCGAGGTGTACGGTAGTGGAATACGGTAGAAAGTTGGGAGTACTTTAGAGGTAGGATTAAAGTAACAAGTAAGGAAACAAGTTCGGCATACAATAGCAATCTTTTCGAGACACTTGTACACACTGTTAAATTCCAGGAAATCACGAGTACTACCACGGGAACGTCGAAGAGTGGTTCGCTTTTCTCGAATCGTGCAATATCACCATTCTTCACAACAAGAATCAACGAGTCCAGCTAGCCAGCGGTGGCTCGTTGTGTGTGGCCGGGATTGATGATCTGATCACTCTTCGATTACAGTAAGACTTAGAATTTTTAGAATTCATATTTATTCATTAGATATTCATTCTTAGAAAGAATATTCATTCTTTTAGTTTGCAAGGACACGGGATGAATCCACGACAAGCACTGGCGGGCTGCCAGAAATCGGATTTCGTGCTCCTCTTGGCCCATCAACCAAACGCCGCCAAGTATGTGCTCACCGATCCGGCTGTCAACGGCAATGTCGATCTCGTTTTGTCAGGTTTGTGCTAGTATTAACTTCTTGGTATTAATTTGATAACTAAACCTAGAAATGACATTCAAATTAACCTAATATTAGGCTAATGCGTTTAGTTATCAATTTCTAAGTTTAGTTATCAATTTCTAAGCTTAGTTATCAATTTCTAAGCTTAGTTATCAATTTCTAAGTTTAGTTATCAATTTCTAAGTTTAGTTATCAAATTAATATTAGATTCAAGCTATTAGAGTCGTCTGGGCTAATGCGTTTTCGAAAATGCATCGATTTTAGAAAACTACCGTTCTCAAACCGTCAGTTTTCATTCAATTAGCGAAATTTTTGTATCATTCGATGAGGAATCCCAAGGCTCAATGATACAAAAATTGAGGCGATTGACTGGAATTGACTGGATTGACGGACCTTTTTACCGAATTAACTGTAGTTTTCTAAAAAGATGTCGTTTAGAAAACGCTTTAATATCTTTCATAGCTTTAATATCTTTAATATCTTTAATATCTTTAATATCTTTAATATCTTTAATAGCTTTAATACCTTTAATACCTTTAATATCTGAATAGCTTTAATACCTTTAATATCTTTAATAGTTTAATAGCTTTAATAGCTTTAATAGCTTTAATAGCTTTAATAAATAGTTAATTACTGCTTTAAAAACACTATAATAATCATAAAGAAGTGTTTTTCGGAAGTTTTTCAAAAAAAAGCAAAGAAAAAAGCAAAAAAAGGCAAGCGGAATTGAACACGCGAGCAAGGAAGGGCAGAGGTTTTCGAGTCTAGCACACTATCCTCTAGGCCGCCACTGCTTCTACGACCGGGCGGCGTGGCGTCCAATTATATAGCCCTAGCCCTCCCGTGCCGCCGTAGCCTGGTCACGGTTTGCCAAAAATTGCCGAAACTTTGGACACGTTTTACTCAAAAACCAGAGCCCACGGGGAAAAAATAAAAAAATAGATGTTTCTTAGAAATCTATGGGAGCGTTTTGTAGCTAGATCTGGTTTCGAAAATCGGTGCTAATTTGAAACAATTCCCTAGTAAATCGACTCAGTAACACATTGTATTTCGATCCTTTTCCAGGTCACACCCACAACGGCCAGTTCATCTTCTTCAAGCCGGTCGTCCATTTGGCGAACGCTTGGGTGCACGGTCTCTACTGGAATGCTCCCACCAACACTCACATCCTCGTCTCAGCCGGTGTCGACTACTTCGGTCCACCCGTGCGCACATCGGGCCATTGTGAAGTCGTCAAATTGACCGTTAGTGGAAGAGCTTAAGGATTATGGTAGAAGATCTTTTATGAATCTGAAAAATTCTTTTTTTCTACCGTAATCTTGTCATTTATCTCATACGAGCTACAATGTATTTGTCGGAAACGTGTACTGACTTTTGCTTTTTGTTTTTGCATCTTTTTGAGTGGTAGCTTCTTTTTTGTGCTTTTCTCTGAAGTGTTCACTTCTTTGTCTCTTCACTAGTCAAAAAGCCGACCAAATGCTGTGCGATCTACGCCATTTGACGCAGAATTTTCTCCCAAAGTCCTATCATCTTTTTTTGGTTCCCATTTCGTTCATTTCTGGTCTCACTTTTTTTTTGGTTTTAGAGTTGTTGAGGAATAAAGTTGCAATAGTAAAATGAATTGGGGAAAAAGATAAACAAAAAATGCACTACTCGAAATCCAATTTTTATCACAAAATATATAGCCTGCTAGCTTTCTAATACTTGAATGAAAGTTATAGTAATCTAGGATTACTGTTTTGGAAAATTGAATACCCGATAACTTCGAGTATAGCTTTTCTTCACAAACTAACACTATTAGCCGTTAACCCGCTGGTGGTTAACGACTGGCTGACCGGGCAGATGTCTAGTTTAAATAGTCTATTCCAACCCAAGTCTATTCCAACAATGAATTGATACCCTGCTCTCGATCTTTTCCAATTGCCTTGATAGACAACTTCCCAAATAGGGTTTGTATTAGGTTAAGTACTAACAAGGAAAGGTCATTTGGCTTTAGATAATGAAATGAATTTATTTAGATAATGAAATGAAAGGTGCAAGATACAAGGGAAGGTCAGCCGCCCAAATGCTGTGCAATCTATGCCATTTGACGCAGAATTTTATGCTGGTTCCGAATATGTATTCCGTTTTCGCTAAATGACAATCGGCCAGAAGTTATAAGCGTCTAAAGCTTTCTTAGGACTCTGCAAATATGTTCATTTGGGTCTTAGTGGCCTCCTTGCGGACGTGGTTTGATGCAGCTGTGGCCAAGTGGTACAGCCAAGGGCCAAGTTTGTTTTCAAAGCGAGATTTCGAGACCCAGTTTGGATTTTTCTTTTGCTTTTTTCAAGAAGTGATTTTGTTTGCTTTTTAGTGTTCTTTGTGCTCTGATAAATGAATGTTTACCGCTGTTTTATAGCGGTAAACATCTGAATAGATATTTGGAATGCCCATATACGGCTAGTGTTTGCACTCCGAGCTTATGCTGAAACGCTGCTCTTTCCTCTCTCGCGTGCGACGCGCCCTTATTGGCTAAGGGACGATTTTTCGAAAATAGTCAAAACTTTAAATGCCTTTTTCTTGCCATGATTTTAATTTGGGCAAAAACTGAATAGATATTTGAAATGCCTATAACCGGCTGGTGTTTGCACTCCGAGTTTATCCTGAAACGTCAGCCCCAGTTTAGAGCATTCCCTTGCAAGTATTGCGCTCTTCATTTCATTATCTAAATGAACAATTCTCAAACTACCAAATACCAAACGCTTTTTTTATACAGGGTGCGTCATAATTATTGCAACAAGAGTTCAAAGACGTTCAAAGTTTTAAAGAAGAATGTGATGTCATGGGCGTGTAAAGCCAATAACAATCAAAATTGGACCTTCATGCAAGATGGAGCTCCCGCTCACACGAAGAAGACGGTGTTTTCCCTCAGTGATCACCAAGGATGAATGGCCTCCAAACTCACCGGATCTCAATGTGATGGACTTTTCCATTTGGGCAATCTTAGAGGCTAATGTCTGCTCTTGAAGTCTGCTGTTTGACCTGGAAGAAGTCTTTGACCAAAGGATGGAAGGCGACTCCTCAAGATGACATTCGGGCCGCAGTGGAGTCATATCCGAACCGATTAAGGGCTGTTATCAAGGCAAAAGGCGGTCATATCGAATGAACTCTTGTTTCCTTATTTGTTACTGTTAAATAAAGCTATTTCTGTTTAAAAATCTTCTTCCAGTGAAACTTCTTGGTGTGCAATGCCTTGAGTATCTTGTTGCAATAATTATGACGCACCCTGTAAATGTTTATTGTTTACTTTCTGTCATTTCAAAACTATTTTTTGTATTTTAGAATAATCTGCGAGAACGAAAACTGCTATTTTTAAAAATATTAAAAAATGAGCACATAAAGAAAACCGCTAAACGGATTATTCGGAAATTCTAGTTGTAAATGTAACTTTTTCTGTTTCTTTTTTATTTTTTCATCAAAATAGGTTTGATTGGAAGAAACGGTCGAAATAGCATCAACGGACCTTGTCGCTTTTGAACTTCTGCTTCTGGCTTCTTGCTAATGAAAACCCTTCAAAACAAAGCTTTTCAAAAACTTTCAAAAGTCATTTGCAAGAGAAATGATTGGGTTATCTAATGAAAACCGGATTTCATTTGGTAGCTTGAGACTTATTCAATTAGGAAATGAATTTGGGTGAAAGATTTAGTACTCAACCTTAAGATCAAAAAGCCACGCCAGAATTGGTATTAATAAACGTAAAGTAGATTATATAGCAGAAAAACGAATCAAATACTTAAAAACAATGCTTGACAAGTAGACTCGAGTATTTTGACTTCTAAAAATTGGGTTATCGGCCATTTGATACGCTCCGCTTCCTTCGCCATTGGCAATCCAACTTTGAGTTCAAATTTCTTCGTTGGGCTATCTAATTTGAATATTCTTGGTATCATTAGATACGCCAAGTCTTTCTCTGTCGATTAGTACAAAAACTATTTAAATTGGACAGCCCAGCACCAAGAAATTTGAGCTCAAAGTTAGATTGCTAACGGCAAAAGGAGCGGAGCGCGTATCAAATGTCCCACAATCCAAAAAAACAGGCTAGGCCGCTTCAGAGTATTTCATTTGGTAGCTTGAGACTTATTCAATTAGAAAATGAATTTGGGTGAAAGATTTAGTACTCCACCTATTAAAAACTATGAAAACCTAATTAAGATCCAAACGATGCAAACGTCTATTGCATATTGAGTTTGTGCCAGATTACTGGCGCATAAGAAATTTGTGTGTAAACCGACTTACCGTAAACCGACCGAGCACCAGAAACTCATAGGTTTTGTCATCAATCAGGAATCACAAAAAAAAATGTACTAAATGGTTTTGTGATGATTTGCCTTGTGACAAAATCTTTGTAATGATTTGCTCTTATTAGATGATCCGATTAAATCTGTTTTAGTGATGATCTGTGGATGTGTTAGTGATGATCAATTTGCAGAGGATGTACTTAAAGCAAATTTACACTGGTCCTTCAATTCTGCACACAACAAAATAGAAAAGTACCAGAAAATTCATTGTTCAATTCACAGACATTTGTGTTTTGTCGAGAAAATCTAGGAAAATCTAGGAAAACCTAGGAAAAACTAGGAAAACCTAGGAAAAGGAATCTAGTTCTTTGCTAAAAGAAAACAAAAAATGAGTTCAATGCTAAATTTAATGGAGAATGTGTCTCTAACTTAATGGAGAATTTGTCTCTAATTTAATGGAGAATTTATCTCTAATTTAATGGAGAATTTGGCTCTAATTTAATGGAGAATTTGGCTCTAATTTAATGGAGAATTTGGCTCTAATTTAATGGAGAATTTGGCTCTAATTTAATGGAAAAATTCGTCTCCACTTGGCTAGAAATCAACACGGAATTCAAAACAGCTTTTGTCAGCGAATCCGGGAAAAGGGAATGATTTTGCTACGCGGTGTAGTGAGCAATTTACAGCCATCCATCCAATGTTCAATGTATCATTTGTTTCTAGTGCTTTTCTTCAGTTTATTGCCCGGATTCAATGATAAATTAGTATTCAAGTACACTTTTTTTTTATGATTGTTGCTGGTTTTTTCCTAATTGCAATTGAATTTTTTGATAGATCGTTCTCTTTTCGTTTTTTTTAGAGAATTATGAAATTACAATTGTTTTTTGAGAATTTCTTTTACTAGTTTAATATTTTATTATACTGTAATACTGTAAGACAAGTTATAATCTTAAGCTCATAACAGCCGGGCAACGTTTTGGAGATGATGGAGAAACTCTTCGGTCATTCGAGTCAACTCAATTTTGATGTTTTTTTGAGCTATAGCTCTATTGGATCGATATTTTTTAATCAACATGCTTCTAGATTCCTTTTCCTAGTTTTTCCTAGGTTTTAAGTCATTCTGTTTTTCGGGGAAAGCTGTGTAAGTTGAAAGGCTATATTTTGCAACAAACCAAAATTACCTAAATCAATTGAGTTACTATTTTGACTAGTTAAAATACTAATGACTCTTTTAACTTAATTAAGCAAGCTTTCAGCGAGCTTTGTGACCGTTTGAATTCAAATAAATAATAGAATGTAAAGTAGAGTTGGACTTGAAGTTAAGAGTTAAGTTAGAGTTAAGTTAGTTAGTTAAGTTAGAGTTAAGTTTGAGTAGTTTAAAGCAATTGAAAGTAAAGTTGAACTTGAATCCTTCAAAGAGTTATAGAGTAAAATAGATCGTTTTCTGTTCGTTTTGTCTAGAGAATTATGAAATTACAATTGTTTTTTGAGAATTTCTTCTACTAGTTTAATATTGTATTATACTGTAATACTGTAAGACCAAAAGTCCCCAAACTCCGAGACTCGTCATTTGAAAGTTTGGAAGGTCAACTTTGACTCAACTTTTCTCTATGCTTTTATTGGTAAATCTACAAAACAAATTCTGCTTTTCTAAAACCAAATTTAATGAAGATTCTACTAAAACCAACCATAGGTTGATTCAGCTTCAATACCTCGAGTTATAGACCATCTAAGTTGATCAACTTTTCCAGGTAGGTAGTTCAACTTTGACACTAATTTTCTCCATGTTTTTATACCTGAGTATACAAAACAAATTCTACTTTTTTATAACCAAATTTAATGAGAATTATTTTAAAACCAACCTCAAGTTGATCTGATTACTGGGAGTCGAGTCATAGAGTAAAATAGAAGTAGATTCAGCTTGATATCAGGTACTTGATAACAAGCAAGCCTTGGTAAAATTAAAAAATTGACTTCATAGTTCAGCAGTTTTAGAGCTAAAGTACACCGAAAATAGATTCATTTGACTCATTCGATTGACTCAAAATTTGACAGACACTTGACAGACGTTTGACAGACATTTGACAGACGTTTGACAGACGTTTGACAGACATTTGACTCAGTCAAATCACGAGCCAACACTGGTGATATTTTGCAAACGTTCAGCCATTCAATGTTTACTTGTATGGTTCATTGGTTCATTGGTTCATTGATTCATTGGTTCATTGATTCATTAGTTCATTGGTTCATTGGTTCATTGGTTCATTGATTCGTTGGTTCATTGGTTCATTGGTTCATTAATTCATTGATTCATTGGTTCATTGATTTATTGATTCATTGATTCATTGGTTCATTGATTCGTTGGTTCATTGATTCGTTGGTTCATTGGTTCATTAATTCATTGATTCATTGGTTTATTGATTCATTGGTTCATTGGTTCATTGGTTTAGATTTCTAAAGTGTTGCCCAAAAGCTTCGGGATTTCTTATCTCCGTTTACTTTTGATAGATTTTTACCGTAAAACTCATTTGTTCTCAACTTTTTTCAATTCAATACACATAGATGGATAGATTCATAGATTCATTTGATTCATTCGATTGACCCAAAGTTTGACTCATAGATTGAAATAGAAATGAAATAGAGGCTAGATCAAGAATTCAGAGTTGAATCTTCTGAAATTTCAAAATTTTATGCAAAACTTGAGAAATAGTATTTATAAACTCGAAAATCCGATAAAGAAATGCAATAAAGAAATCCCAGAAAACAAAGAAAACTTTGTTTTCCGTCTTTTTGTGGCAAAAACTCGCCAAAACGATGACGAATTTACGACCAGGATCGACCAGGATTGTTTATCGAAATTTTCACTTATTTTGAAAACAAATCTTTTCCATTTTTTTCCATACTATTATGCTCATTTCTTTCATATTATTTTTGCATTAACTAACTGCATTAACATTCTTAAATGAATCCAATCTTTTCCTTGAGCTTTTCCGGTTTTCCGGTCAGCATTTCCCCTTCTGTCACATGGCGATTTGAGCCATCAATTTGCTTTTTCTTGCTTCTTTTCTTTTCTTTTCAAACCTTTTCCACCCTTTGGGCTAGATTTTAGTTTTCCAGCAAAATAACAAGCGAACAAATTAATTCCATCGAATTATGACGTTTTTCTTGATCATTTTCTTCATCGAATTGGCGATTGCGAGTGAGTTCAAATGAGTAATTCAATTTAAAGTTCAAGTTAAAGTTAAAGAAGTAAACAGTCTAAAAACTATTAAGCAATCGCATCGTAAGCATTATAAACATCTTAAACATCTTAAACATTCATTATAAAACATCCTAAACTTATAACTAGTTTAAAAACTGTTACTGCTGAAGCATTTACCAGTTTAAATGTAAACTGTGATAGGCAAATGTGTTGAACGCAAACATCAAATTCATTTTCATATACTTGTGAGTTTTTATAGAGTAATTGTACTTTCGTATCTTTATCCTGCCAACAAGTTTATATACAAACCAAAAGCTTCGTTGCAGCAAAAAGCAAAAGAATTAAATAGGAACTAAATAGGACCTAAAAAGGAACTAAGTAGGAACTATAAAGTAACCAAATAGGAACTATAAAGGGACTAAATAGGAACTAAATAGGAACCAAAGAGGAACTATGAAGTAACCAAATAGGAATTATATAGGAACTAAATAGGAACTAAATAGGAACTATTGGCGGAGAGAGGAAGCAAACCCGCTACCCCTCTCATCAGTTCGTTTGAAAGACGTGCGCGTCAACCACTCGACCACTCGATGGCGCAGTGCGAGCGCACTTTTCTCTAACCCACACGACCCGGATTCGACTCCCGTCCGCGTCAGCACTTTTCGTTTTTTAAAAATTTAAAACCATGTTGCACAACTACATGAAATTCTAAGCCAAACTAACTATAAGGCAGACAGACAGACAGACAGGCAGATAGACATACAGACCGACAGACCGACAGACCGACAGACAGACTACATATAAAGGGGCTAATCCCTAATCACTAATCGTCTGTCTTAGTCCCTTTATATATAGTAGATTGCTCTTTGATATCTTACTCCTTTGATCTTCTTCATCTTAATTTTAACATCTTTTATCCTAGTTTTGAGATAATTTTGAATAGATTTAAGCTAGAATTAATGAATATAAACCTAATAAAGTCTTTTATACTATTTCCCCCTCATCTTTACTAAACTAGATGCAAATTGACATTTATCTTATTTTGGTTGGGGCGCAAAGATACAGAAGTAACTATCTTCTAGCTTCATGTAACTTTAAAGAACTAAAAATCATTGTCAAAGCTAAAAAGTTCAAAGTTCAATGGTACAGAATGTCTAGAAGTACAGCTATTACCGTATTTTCTCTAATAGTAGTGCACCCTGAGCGTCGCCTAAATTGCTCGAAATCTCGAGAAACGCTTATCAGAACCTATCGATGTGGGGTCGGAAAATGTAGCTGACGATGAGATCTAGTGGGGGATTAGAGTGTTGAGCTTCTGCAAAAGCTTGGAAACCATAAAATAGCCATCAACTCGGCGGTGCTGGGTGCACGACTATTAGGGAAAATACGGTAATTAATAGACCGTAAAAGCTGTAATAGCTGCCCGCTCCCCTCTAATAGTAACCCCCCGCTGGAGGGTCCCCAGGGCCCCGGGGGCCCGGGGCTACTATTACAACTTTTACGGTAAGCTATTAATATTAATATAAGCTATAGCAGGATTAGTTCACAAATGTGCTTTTTTTGCTTACATTGTAAGTCCAAGAATTTTCCTAGTAGCTTTTTTCCGTATTCTAGGATTTTAAAATGAACTTGTGGCCTTGATTTAATGATTTTTCTAATAAATTCGACTAAATTTCAGTTGAAATCCTCTGTGACGACGAGAGCGTCATTTCACGATTACCCGGTAGAGTTTTTCGATCGAAAAAATGAACTTCTCATTTTCAGAAGATTTCTAACTGTTGCATAATTGAATGTTTTCTTTTCAAAGTCAAAAAAGTGATCGGGATTTCCGAGAAAAAGCCGAGGAAAAGCAGGTTTCGATGTTCGGGAAGAGGTAGATGAGAAAAAGGCGATCGATTTCCGGCTTTTCCCAATCATTCACGTTTAGCATCATTTGCATTGGGTTCTTTATTGATCAAATATGTTTATTTTCTTCGTTTTACTTGCAACAATGCTTGAATCAACGGAAACAGGTGATTTCAATTTTGGATCTTGGATTTGAGGCCTCTCAAAAGCTTTTTATTCAAAGATAGAAACTTTGCAAGAATGAGAATGCAAGAATGGTTCATCCCAAATCCTAAAAACAAGATGCCAGCTTGCTTTTGAATGCCAGTTTGCTTTTGAATGCTAGCTTGCTTTTGAATGAATGCCAGCTTGCTTTTGAATGCCAGCTTGACTGACGATTAAGAATGACTGACGGCATGAGTAAATTTGTGACCCGGCTACCGTACCTCGTAACCCAGTTAGTCGTGTTGCAATAGCCCAAAAAATTACGGCAATTACGGCAATTACGGCATTAAAATCTATAAGTCACAGTTTAAGCCCATATGATAGAGATCTAGATAGGATTACGGTGGCTGGATCATGCTTTAGAGTGGCTACATCGAGTTGAGAAAAGTCAGAGTGGTTACACCGTTCGAAAAAGTCAACATTCAGCGATCTTTGTTAGCTTGTCACTTAAGCAGCGCATCCATTTTCCTAACAAGGGAATGACCAGATCTAGCGATAGAATTAGTGACCAGATCTAGCGATAGAACCCGAAAATCAAGACAAAACGCCTATCGACTACGCCGAACACGAGCAGGAAATCCGTTCTTGCGAACGAGCAATAGCTTTTTGCAAACAGCGAGCAGTAGGCTTTGTACTTCAAATTGTAGGCTATTTTTCGATTTTCCCGTTTTCAAGAGCCCTTAATAACGGCATTCCAAAAGGATTGCCGTGGCCGAGTCAGTAAAAACAAGATGACTCAATTTTTTGTAACCCTGGTTCAATCTAGAGTGTGTTCCTCCTCCTCCTCACGGGAAATTCCCTTCACAAGTAAAGGTGAAGGGAATTCACTATTCAATTTACTCGACGTGTAAAGAGGATTACTCGTAGTTACTTGACCAAAAAACGTCGTTTAATCGATTAAAAAGTACTCATGCAAATTTTATTCGAGTAATTACTTACTCGAGTATTACTTACTCGCGAGGAACATACTCTAGTTCAATTTCCAATCGTACAAAATCTTTTTATCTTTTCCTTTTGTCAATAATGTTTTCTTGATGTTTTAGCTTTATTTTTAGATCCAAATGGTGTCAGCCCTCAGTCTTTGACAATGATTTGACAATAAAGCAAAGAAATGACAATAAAGGTCTTTGACAAGATGAAGAAAAAACAATTTTGCGTTACAATGAGTTCATAGAATCAATACAATATCCATACAACGTTTCGGTGCAACATTTATGGGAACTCTTTGACAAGTAACGCAACAATAACTTCGGCTGACATTATTTGAACTTAAAAATCGAACCAAAACATCAAGAAAACATCAAGAAACCCTCAAGAAAAGATTATTGACAAAAAAGAAAAGATAGAAAATTTCGCATGATCAGGAATCGAACCAGGGTTACAAAAATGGAATCAGATTTTTATGCCATCGCTTTCAGTGTAGTCAATAGACGTTTTTTTCTTGATTTTCGGGTCTAAATTCTATTGCCTATTGCCTCCTATTGCTTCTATTCTATCGCCAGTTCTGATCATTCTCTTGTAAATCTACTCTGGGCTGAAGGAATTCCTTAAAGTTATTCCTGATCCAGGTGAACACCAGATCAGCTAAAGCTATCACAGAATTTCTTGCTCTACAATCAATTCTCTGCTCTACAATCAAATCTTTCAGTTACCGATCTACCAGATTATCACGTTGATCTTCGAATGAGCAGTCAAACTGTAAAGCTAAATTATAATCGAATGTCAAAGCGAACTTTAGAAACCCTATCCATACGGTGTTGAGTTTTGTGTGATACCAAAAACCGGTTCAATGATCACAACTGAAATTCTCTGTGATTTGCTGCGTGATTATCGTGAAATCCCATATAAACACAATTTTGGGAAGAACATAAGTGGAATCAAGTGAGCAATGAAGTAAAGATGATCTCTGGAGTGTAGTTTGTGCTCATCTTGCAAACAAATCTTTTCTGGTGCACTCAACTCTTTCTTTGTGATCGTGTTAACGTTAAATGATAGGCCAGAAAGAGTTCTCTTTAGAAAATTGGACCCAAAATATATCCAGTAAATTTGCATTTAGAATGCTTGGATTACTGTGTCTGTCTGTCTGTCCATTGTCTGCCTTTTGTCTGTCTTTGTTTACTGTAAGAGAAACAAGAAACTTTTTATTACTTTCTAAAGATTGCGTTCAAAACTCTGAAGTGCCATTTGCATTTAGAATCCATTTGGAGTGCATGGAGTGCATTTTTGGAGAATCTCTTTCAAAATCAGTCCCAAAATTTGGTGGTTTAATGAGAAGACTAAAGTTTTCATAATGCCGATAATGAATGTCATTTAGTGCTTGTGTAAACAACACCTTTTACCCGGATGCTCATTTGGAGAAATGGAAACGATCAACGAAAATCGTCCGTTTTACAATCGTTCGCGATCCAATCGAACGATTCGCCTCGTATTATGGCCACTTTTGTGGGTGAGTTTTTCATGAACTAAACGAAGATCTTGATAAAATCCATTCTATAACTAACAACTGCTAACAAAACTGCTTGATAACTTGATAAAATGTTAACAAATAACTGCTAACAACTAACTGCTAAATTGGGTAACTGATTTGTTTAACGCTTTCGCGATAATGCATGTTTTTGTCAACTTTTAGGTAGAAAATTTGTAGCCGAGGGGTTTTCGGCAATGGAGAATCCAAATTTGTTTTCAGTTTTAATACGATCATCGAAAAACTTTGGGTAATTAAACCAAAATGCGCAAAAAAGAGATTTGATCATCGGTGGCTCACATTGTCGTCAATGTGGGCCACCGTCAATCGTCAATGTGCCTAAGGAAGATGTGTTCAAGATCCCGATGTTCAAGGTCGATTTCCAGATCGGAGCCAAAAAGATTTCGCGAGCTTAAGCGTATGCTTCGATAAAAGCAAAGAGATTAAGAGCACAACTTGCAGAAAAGTGATGCTCAATGTTCATAGATGCTCAATCACGAGGTTATACTTAGCTCAAAACTTTCAGAATGCTTAATCAATGTGAGGGAAAAGATATTCACCAATACTCGAGATGGATGTACTTCATGCTAAACAACAAAATCAAACCAAAAACCCACTTAACGATGGGCAGACTTTTTCACGGATATCCACAATCATGGTTTGTTGCGCAGATTTCCCACAGATTTCCCAATCTTGCCGATTTAGGTTCTGTAATCTTGGCTCTGATAAAGAGATTCAAATAATTCGCTACACTCACAACAAAAAGGAGATGGCGAAGCAATTCTTGCGCATTTTGAAGAAAGCAAAAGTCCCGAAGAAACTTGCGAAGCGGGTGAGCTTGTAAAACGAAGCCATTTTGAAGCTATTTTGAAACTCAAACTACTTTAGAATGCTATTTCAAATGCTTTTACAATTCAAAATCAATTTCAGGCTCTGAAACACTTGAAGAAATCGAGCACCGTTCACGCAGCCAAACACTCAGAACGACAGAAACTCCGTGAACAAATCGTCACAAATCCCACAACGATGGAGCACGTTCGAGCAATTTATCATGATGACTTCGAGCTTTTTAACAAACATTCTCAATAAATTTCATAAGAGATCGGATTTCAACGAGGCAATACAGAAAAAATATCGATTTGTCCGATTTGACTGATCGTACACTGACAACAAGCTGTTATAGTAGTTTAATAGTTTAATTTCTTTTCCATATCAAAAGTCGTTCAACAAAAAACAATTATCTTCTCATTAATAAAGAGTTTTCCCATCAAAAGATGTGGCTTTGCAGTTGAATTAGGAGACTTGCACGAAAACGAGTCATTTGCCAAGATTGTGGGACATTTGCTACGCGCCCAGTCCACTTTGCCATTGGCAATCTAACTTTGAGCTTTGATCTTGGTGTTCGGTTGTTCAATTTAATTAGTTTTTGTACCAATCGACAGAGAAAGACTTTGCGCACCCAATGATACCAGGAATATTCAAATTGGTCACCCCAACGCCGAGATATTTGAGCTCTAAGTTAGATTGGCAAAAGGGGCGGGACCAGAAAGACCTTTTATACGCGGCCGGTCCCCTTTGCCATTAGCAATCTAACTTTGAGTTTAAATATCTTGGTGTTGAGATGTTGAATTTAAATATTCTTAGTATCATTAGATAAGCCAAGTCTTTCTCTGTCGACCAGAAAGACCTTTTATACGCAGCCGGTCGCCTTTGCCATTGGCAATCCAACTTTGAGCACAAATATCTTGCTGCTGAGCCGTTCAATTTAAATAGTTTTTGTACCAATCGGCAGAGAAAGACTTGGAGCATCGAATGATACCAAAAATATTTAAATTAAACAGCCCAAGACCAAGATATTTGAGCTCAAAGTTGGATTGGCAATGGCAAAAGGGGCTGGGCGGGTATAAAAGGTGTTTCTGGCCCCGCCAGAGAACTTAAAAACTTCGATTTAGATCCCATATGTGTACCAAGTGCCTAACTGTTTTCCAGAGCTCAAAAAGATAATCAGTCAACGTTTTTTGATAAGATAATCAGCCAAATTTTCAATACTCTATGGCTGAAAACGAAAATTTGCGCCATTTTCTGCGACAAAATTGTTAGTTTAACCAAAAGAAAAAACGCGATTTCGAAATTCCCAATTCATATCCCATTAAAATGATGGTTTTATGATAAATTTTTCTTTACGAGAGAAAAGATTTTCCATTTAAAAGTGCAAAACTATTGACCTTTTCCCCCGGAAAGTTGCCAAGAAAACATTCTTTGACCAGGGGAATTTGGAAACAAGATATTTTATAATTCACCAAATAATACAGTCCAGACAGAGAAAATATTTGAATGCTTTTGTTTATAAAAAAAAACAGTTTCAAGAGATAACCTTGAAAACTTTTTCTCTTTCTCTCTTTACCGTCAAAATATAAACATGTTTTGACACTTAAAAGAGAGCGAAAAAAAATGAATAAAATAGAGAAAAAGGGAGTCTTTTTATCGTATCTACCGGATTTTCGCTTTTCAAAGGTCATGTTTTCTGAAGGAACTTTTGAGTCAATGGCTTTTCTTTTATTTTGTGAACATTCTAAAGAATTAGTTTTCTAAATTCTGAAGAATTAGTTAAAGTTTTTGATTTGGCTATCGAAAATGACTAGATTTAAGGCGAAATGGCTGGATTTAAGGCGAAATGGCTGGATTTAAGGCGAAATGACTAGATTTAAGGCCTAAATGACTAGATTTAAGGCGAAATCACTAGATCTAAGGCGAAAATGAATAGATTTAAGGCGAAAATGAATAGATTTAAGGCGAAATGACTAGATTTAAACCGAAATGACTAGATTTAAGGCGAAAATGACTAGATTTAAGGCGAAATGACCAGATCTAAGGCCAAAATGACTAGATTTAAAGCGAAAATGACTAGATTTAAAGCGAAAATGACTAGATTTAAGGCGAAATCACTAAATTTAAGGCCAAAATGTCTAGATTTAAGGCCAAAATGACTAGATTTAAGGCAAAAATGACTAGATTTAAGGCGAAATGACTAGATTTAAGGCTTTTATGACGAAAATGACTCGATTATTTCATAAAAACTATCTTTATTTTTTCATATTTATTGATTTATTTATAACTATTTATACTATTTATACTTATTTATAGCCGTTTATATTTATTTATTTATAAATAAACTATTTATAAAGCTAAGAAATTCACCGTATTTGACTAAATGATTTTTTTGATTTTTTTTACCAATTCAATCATTATAAAATAGTTTAAACCAAGGCTTTTCAATGTTTTTCTTTGATTTATTTAAAGTTAATCCCACGGTTAGTTCAAGGAGAGGTTCTTTCGTTTTAGAAATTCCAGTCACCTCCAATAAGTTTGTGTAAAACTCTTTTCCAATAAGAACTGCCAGAATTTGGATTTGGAATTTGGAATCGACTCCCCAGAGTTTTGAGAGAGTCCAATAGTCTCGAAACTTTTAAATTATCTGTAGATGATCTTGATCTTGAAGCTCTAGTGGATTCGTGACGTTATCTGTGCTACCCATTACATACATTATCTTGTGTTGCTTTTTATCGGTCCTTTTCGTGTTATGTGTATGAATCCATGTGTATTCGGCTTAAATCTAGCGCACTTTATTTCAGGTCCTCAATAAAGTATCTATATATTCCTATGTATGCCGTAAAAGCTTTAATAGAAGAGCCCCTATAGGAGCGTCGCGTTTTCTAAGTTTACTCCCAAACAAACGCTCAGATCTCGGCACCCAGACATTTTTTTTCTGCGCGCTTAGGTAACAAATTAAAGTAAAAAGATAAGCGGATCTTTTGAGCTATTAAGTATATTTTTAGCTTTAACCAGCGCTTAGAAAAAAAAGATTGAAAATGATGAAAAAACGACTTTTTTTGCCACTTTTCAGTCATTTTTTTCTAAAAGCTGGTTATTGTTAAAAAAAAAATGTGTGATATCTCAAAAAGTCACTCATCTTTCCCATTTAAATTTGATACGTAAGCGTGCAGTGAGAGATATCGGTGAAAGTGTTTAAGTATCTATATGTTGTGTCCGATTTAGATTGAACTTATCGCGGACGTCCGATTTAGATTACAGTCTATATCGGACGTCCGATTTAGATTCAATCTAAATATTATATAGATTGAACAATAATACGTCTTATATAGATGTGCTTGATAGCTTGTCTAAAAACGTTCACAGACAACCGATCACAGACAACCGAGAACATATATTAAGCACGTTTATTATTGTTCGATCTGTATCGGACGTCCGATATAGACTGTAATCAATAAAAGACCTTTGAAAAATGCAGAAAACTACAGAAAACGCTTAAGAACATATATTAATCATGTTTATATTATTGTTCAATCTATATAAGACGTATTATTGTTCAATCTATATAAGATTTAGATTGAATCTAAATCGGACGAAAATCTAAATCGGACACAACATATATATACTCACTTTATTCCAAAATTCATATGCAGTCACAGTAATACAAGTTCTTCCTAGAATTCTTAAAGCTAGATTCTTTTTTTTCTAAGTAGAGTCAGCTCATTCTTGAACATTCTTGAACACTGTTGTTGAATTTTAAAAAAGTCTTTACAGTATATCGCTAATTGAAGTTTTAAAATTAGCTAACCTTCAGTTTTGTTAGTTTTATTAGAGTTTTTTGGATAGAGAACTTTGTAGAGAGAAAAGAAACAAATAAAATAAGAGAGAAAAAGGATTCGAGACTTCACTCCTTCACTCCTTCACTCTCCTTTTTGTCTTACCTGGATATTTGCACTTGCTTTTTGAAAGGTCATGTTTTCTGACTAAAGAGGAAACTTTTGAGTCAATCCACGCTTTTGTTTTCTTTTGTCTCATGATGTTTTTGAATGAATCAAGAGTTCATTTTTAAAACTTCATTAAACAATATTTTCAATAACAAAATTTTCCCATCGTTTTCCCATCTTTTGATTATCATCTTTTGATTATCATTTTCTCTGTGATTTGTAACAAAATACTTTATGATTTCTATGATCTTTATGATTTCTATTCGAAAAATGAATTTTTCACTTGTGGTTTATGTTTTAAACGTGTTTTAAACATAAACCAAGCCAAAAAAGAATGTTTTTTTTGTTCATTTTGAGCTTACATTAAAGAAACAAGTTGATTTCATCAATTTCCGCCTCGTTTCCCTAAATCTCAAAAAGATTATTGGGTAAAGAAATGAAAGAGTTGTTGTGTCTCCAAGCAAAAGCTCTAATTTGTGCTATACTTGAGCCATTTTATCCATATTTTGGCTGCAAATAATTATCGCGGGGGTATAACTCTCATAAGAGCCCTTATGCCTTTCCACAGTTTGCACCATTTCCCCATTTTCCCCATTTTCCCCAATGCCCAAATTTTTCTAGATTTCCCCAACTAAACACCAGATTTCAAAGAGTTCTTTTATGATTTGTTGCTAGTGAAGTCTAGGCTAGAAAAGTCATGCAATAATCGGCTTTTTGACTGTCAGATTGCAGCTTTTTGACTGTCAGATTGCAGCTTTTTGACTAAAGATTCCAGCTGCGGAATAAACTATTTCAAACGATCATGATTTTCATGGGCGTTTACAATAAAAAGCTAATTGATTAAAGGGGTAAAGAGATGACTTTCTAGAACCATGGCTATTTGTATACCAATCGACGCGTTTCAGTCTCCTCTACAAAAATTGCACAAAGAAAAACCTTGAAAACACTAAAAATCCCGAGAAAACTATGAAAAACTGTCAAAAAATGTGTTTGGGAGTCTAAAATGTAGTGTGACTGAATCCTTATACACCAGAATTAATTCTACCGTAGTTTTCGTCTAGACTACGGTAACAATTTCTTGCCCTAGAACAACCAGCAAAAGACCGTTAAAGATATTCAGCTAAACAACTGAAAGCTAATTAAAACAACTCAGAAGCTAATGGTTGAGTTTTGGGCCAAAAAATAATGCTTTTTTTGTTAATTTTGAGCTTGCATTAAAGAAACAAGTTGATTTCATTAATTTCCGCCTCGTTTCCCTAAATCTCAAAAAGATTATTGGATAAATGCATTTCACAATGGCGAAACTTTTCT